GAGAGAGCGAGACACAGACAGAGAGAGAGTGTGTGTGTGTGTGTTTTTGTTCGGGCGCGTCCTTTTTCTCGCTTGAAGATGCAGAAAACGATCCAAAGGGACACCCGTTCCATCGCCCATGGCAAAGAGAAGATGGCACTTGTCTTCATCTTTCTTCTCTTGTCTTTGTTCTCTCTTGTTCGTTTCCCTTTAAAATAAAAAGCCAAAGAAAGAACCATGAAAATGAAGGGAACTCGCTTTCTTTTTCCGTTTGGGAACAACGGAAAAACCGAAGAGATACAGAGGAGGGATATGCTGAAGCATGGAGGGGGGCCACGGGCAAGCAGCCAACCCCGCTCACTTTCCCCAACCATTGAAAAAGGATAAGAATGGAAAAAATGCCTCCGCCCCCCTCTTACTTTAATTTGATTGTGTTTTTGTCGTTGAAGAGGAGGGAGAGAGAAGGAGGAGGAGAAATAGACATTTTGTAAATCATTCAATTCGGCCGGGAATTCGATAATTTAAATAATTTAAATAATGTTAAATAATTTAAAACATGTAAATAATTTGCATAATTTAAATACTTTAAATAATCTAAATAGTTTAGATAATTTGAATAATATAAATAATTCAAATAATTTACATAATTTAAATCCGAAAGGAGAGAGAGGGGGGATTCTGAGTTCACGTTTTCACCCAAAAGCTAAATCGCAAGGCCTGGTCCCTAAGATTTTGGGTTCAAGTTTTCCTCCAAAGAGCCAAATCGCAAGCCCTGGTCCCTAAGATTTTGGGTTCAAGTTTTCATCCAAACAGCCAAATCGCAAGCCCAGGTCCCTAAGATTTTCGGCCCAAGTTTTCCTCCAAAGAGCCAAATCGCAAGCCCTGGTCCCTAAGATTTTCGGCCCAAGTTTTCCCCAAAGATCTAAATCGCAAGCCCTGGTCCCTAAGATTTTGGGTTCAAGCTTTCCTTCAAACAGTCAAATCGCAAGCCCTGGTCCCTAAGATTTTGGGTTCAAGTTTTCATCCAAACAGCCAAATCGCAAGCCCTGGTCCCTAAGATTTTGGGTTCAAGTTCTCATCCAAACAGCCAAATCGCAAGCCTTGGCCCCTAAGATTTTCGGCCCAAGTTTTCCTCCAAACAGCCAAATCGCAAGCCCTGGGGCCGACCCAGAGGGAATTAAAACTTTCTAAACTAGCTAAACTATCTAAACTATCTAACCTCTGTTTTTCCCAAAATCGAGTTTAGATAGTCTAGATAGTTTCGGGGCTCGTCTAAACTATCTAAACTATCCAAACTCTCTAAGCTATCTAAACTATCTAAACTATCTAACCTCCTTTTTTCCCAAAATCGAGGTTAGATAGTTTAGATAGTTTAGATAGTTTAGATAGTTTAGATAGTTTAGATAGTTTAGAAAGTTTCAAACCTCCTGGGGGCCTCCCCGGAAAGAGGTTAGATAGTTTAGATAGTTTAGATAGTTCAGGGGCTTCCTGAACTATCTAAACTATCTAAACTATCTAACCTCTGGCTGGGGCCGACCCAGAGGGAATAAAACTTTCTAAACTATCTAAACTATCTAAACTATCTAAATTATCTAACCTCTGTTTTTCCCAAAATCGAGGTTAGATAGTTTAGATAGTTTAGGGGCTCGTCTAACTATCTAAACCATCTAAACTATCTAAACTATCTAAACTATCTAACCTTCTTTTTTCCCAAAATCGAGGTTAGATAGTTTAGATAGTGTAGATAGTTTAGATAGTTTAGAAAGTTTCAAACCTCCTGGGTGCCTCCCCGGAAAGAGGTTAGATAGTTTAGATAGTTTAGATATTTCAGGGGCTTCCTGAACTATCTAAACTATCTAAACTATCTAACCTCTGGCTGGGGCCGACCCAGAGGGAATTAAAACTTTCTAAACTATCTAAACTATCTAAACTATCTAACCTCTGTTTTTCCCAAAATCGAGGTTAGATAGTTTAGATAGTTTAGGGGCCCGTCTACACTATCTAAACTATCTAAACTATCTAAACTATCTAAACTATCTAACCTCCTTTTTTCCCAAAATCGAGGTTAGATAGTTTAGATAGTTTAGATAGTTTAGGTAGTTTAGATAGTTTAGCTAGTTTAGAAAGTTTCAAACCTCCTGGGGGCCTCCCCGGAAAGAGGTTAGATAGTTTAGATAGTTTAGATAGTTCAGGGGCTTCCTGAACTATCTAAACTATCTAAACTATCTAACCTCTGGCTCAGAGGGAATTAAAACTATCTAAACTATCTAACCTCTGTTTTTCCCAAAATCGAGGTTAGATAGTTTAGATAGTTTAGGGGCCCATCTACACTATCTAAACTATGTAAACTATCTAAACTATCTAAACTATCTAACCTCCTTTTTTCCCAAAATCGAGGTTAGATAGTTTAGATAGTTTAGATAGTTTAAATAGTTTAGATAGTTTAGATAGTTTAGATAGTTTAGAAAGTTTAGAAAGTTTCAAACCTCCTGGGGGCCTCCCCGGAAAGAGGTTAGATAGTTTAGATAGTTTAGATAGTTCAGGGGCTTCCTGAACTATCTAAACTATCTAAACTATCTAACCTCTGGCTGGGGCCGACCCAGAGGGAATTAAGGCTTTCTAAGCTATCTAAACTGTCTAAACTATCTAACCTCTGGTTTTTCCCAAAATAGAGGTTAGATAGTTTCGATTGTTTAGGGGCTCGTCTAAACTATCTAAACTATCTAAACTATCTAAACTATCTAAACTATCTAAACTATCTAAACTATCTAAACTATCTAACCTTCTTTTTTCCCAAAATCGAGGTTAGATAGTTTAGATAGTGTAGATAGTTTAGGTAGTTTAGAAAGTTTCAAACCTCCTGGGGGCCTCCCCGGAAAGAGGTTAGATAGTTTAGATAGTTTAGATAGTTCAGGGGCTTCCTGAACTATCTAAACTATCTAAACGATCTAAACTATCTAAACTATTTAACCCCCTTCTCCAAGAAAGGAAAATGATCACATAGTACCTAAAGGTCCCTCTTACATATATACATATGCTCACCCCCCCCCCCCCCCCCCAATGGACCAACCGCGAAATGGAAAAGAAGTCCAAAAACACAAAAATCCAAGTTCCCCGGACAATCTCCCAGGAAACTTTGGGTTTTGGATTTTTGGATTTTGTGCTTTTTATGCTTGGTTATGCTTTTTGTGCTTTTTCGTGCTTTTTGTACTTTTTGCACTTTTTGCACTTTTTTGCACTTTTTGCACCTTTTTGCACGTTTTTGCACTTTTTGCACTTTTTGCACTTTTTTGCACAATTTCACAATATTTTTGCAAATATTGGTCCTTTTGAATGTGCTTTTCCAATCCAAAAATACAAAAATACAAAAATACAAAAATACAAAAATCCCAAAATCCAAAGTTCTCCGGACAATCTCCCAGGTTTTTGGATTTTTGGATTTTTGGATTTTGGATTTTGGGATTTTTGGATTTTGAAGATTTTTCACATTCGAGGTTCTCCTTTCTTTGACTTATAAGAGGGCGGCCATTCACATGTACCCTTGTCAGAATTTCAAAACATCCAAACGACTCAAAAGAATGAAAATCCCAAGTAGCCTGCTCAAAGAGCCAATAAGATGTTGAAATATCCTGCTCAAAAAGCGATTAGAAGCGTTCAAGAAAGTAGTAGGGCTTAGGTCCAGTCTCTGGCTAGTGAACTACTTGGAACCCTGTTCAAAAAACTAAAGCACTCGTACCACAAAGTAAGGGCTTGCATAAGAGGTAACCTTTTCTAAACAGTAGGTACTAGGATCCCAGAATGGTTCTTATTGAAGAAATGATAATTCAGCTTCTTTCAGATGCACAAAATTAGATATTGGCAAATATAGGCTTTCTTTGTTAAAGCCTCCTTAGCAAAGGCCTGTTCGTAACACATGTACGTGTTTTTCTCAGTGATTTGAAAAACTAAGACTTTACATGGTTCTCATATACGGAAACAATATAATCAAAACCTTCTAGAATACGCCATTTAATATCCTGTGAATTTAGTGTTCACGTTTCGAGTAGGACGCCATTGAAACTCTGATAAGAGTACCTTTGAAGGGCCGCCCTCTTATCTACACGAGATACTTACAGGGGCTCCATATGCAAGATCATAAAATAAGAGTTCAACCGAACCTCATAGCATGAAACGCGCGCCCTGGAAATGAATGCACACTTCACTTCCATACAGGAAGTCCCTGACCCTCGAGTGGACAGTGCACTAGCCGTATATTGGGCCTAAGCCCGGCCCTTTACTCAGGTCCCCCGGGCGGCGAGTTCTCATACAAAGAAAACCTGGTAACCTACCACATGACTCGGAAAGATCTGCAAATATCCCCCGGCGGAAGATCATCCATTTCAATGCCACAACTGACTGACTAACTACACCCTCCTCAGGAGGCGAGCATCGTCCACTTCAAGGTACCAAGAAACCGTGCAGATTGCACAGTAATGGTTCTCGTGGCTAATGTTTAGTCTCACACATTGGCCACTGTGTTGGGGGCACTTGCACTTGCATCGATCACGAACCACAGTGCCCTCGCCCTTTTCAACTGCCGACTCACTGTCAGCTGCTTCGACATCGTCAATCTCGTCGTCGTCCACAACACGAACTCCTTTGCACAGCCACGAACCCATTGTCACAGCAGGCACTTCGAGCGAGGCTTTCAAAGAGGACGCTAGAAAAGCTCGACAAGCTCAAGCCAAATGGCTGCAGCACAACATAAACGATTCTCAGACTCGATTCAAGGTTTAGGGAAATCAAACAACGAATACTCAGCAACCCAAATTCTACAAATTTTAAACCCTAAATAAACTTGCCCTAAACCCTTTTTTCTGGACTCGCTAATGGGCCTACATTTCTAAGACATTCAGGGGCTCCTGTCTTCAACTCTCACAGCTGGCTGTTCAAAACCTACTCCAAAAGGGCACCTGAGTTTTAATGTCCCAATGCTTCGGTCTGGCATGGTTTTTCTTGGCAAACGGCCGGTGGAAACGGCCTCAGGGACTACAGGGCCCTTTTGAACTGGCCGAACATACTCTGGGACTGCTCCTCCTCGGCGTTCTGACGAATGCCCCCACCTGCACGCGGGGCGAAGCGGTGAATCCTATCAGCTTACTGTTCCAGAGATCCGCAATGAAGTTGCGGTAGACCTTTCTTCCACCCTCCAACTGAGGATCTATGTACCTGTCTCCCGTCATGCCTCTTTCTAGCACACCCGCAATCTCCTCGTCACTGAGCATCATTCGCACCTTGAAGTCTCGAAGAAGATCTCGTTCCGCCTGCAGCAAGAGAGACTCTAGAGGAACTGGCGCAGCTTGATCGCGAGGCAAAGAAAGACGATCCCTGACATAGCTGGCCAACCCCGCCTTCTGCCGAAGCGCTGCCTGTGGACTCATGCTTTTGGGCGGAGGCGGCCTCTGCACACGCGCATCCTTCACCCGCTGGGCCTTGTTGCAAGCAGCCAGGCGGTTCAATGCCCAAACGGTCCCCCTAGCACGATCTGCCAGCAGTCTCCGTCTCTGAACTCGCTGCCGGGAACGGCGCGAAGACAGCGCGCCCGCCCCACCTTTGTGGAGGCCGCCCGGTCTTGTCCTCCTCTCGCCTCGACGATTTGCACGCTTGCGTTCCTCGGCCGCAAGCCTCTTCGCCGTGTGCTGGGTCAATGCTGGATCGATGACACTGCCCTCACCGGCCTCCCTGATGCCCATGATTTCTTCCGCAGCTTCGTAGGAAGGTGCTTCGGGCCTTTCCTGACGCGCCACTTCGATCAAGGCTCCTCTCCGATTGAGGGCTTCTGCAGACGCCAAGGCGGGTACATTGAGTTGATCATACGAAACCATAAAGTCCAAGGCCCGACACGGGGAAGCGTGCTCAAAGATGGACCTGTCAGAGGCTCGAACCCCGCTTTTTCGAACCCAAGACTCATGGTGCTGCGCAAGCTCATGCCCAAACGTCGAAGTTGCCTAAGATCACGAAGCATCGTGCGAGGGCCCTGCAAGGGATAGTCCGATAGTCCTCGGTCCAGCTCCTCATACTCAGGCAAGGCCTCCGTAAGAATTCTCCACCTCTCCTCCACACGTCAAAGAGCACGTCTCGAGTCTCCTGGCCATTATCACATCCTGCAGGCACGACCGATTATTGCATGGCTGATAGGGGGAGAACACCCGCAGACTAACATCACAGCACCTCTCTGGCGAGTAGCTTGTAGGTGTGACCACCCACACTCATAGAGGGGGTCTCTGGCGATGCCGTCACTTGCTCCCCAAGCCTCTGACCCGCGGAGTGGTAAACCACTACCCAGACCTCGCACTCGTCCGTCGGGACAAAGGTTCCACCACACGGCTGCGCATCTGCGGGTCCTGCCACTGTTCCATCCGCCAGTAGCCGACTCTTCTGCCGCAACCTGCGCGTTGGGGCCAGCTCAACAAGAGGTTTCCTGGTCCCATCTGGCATTTGTACCTCCTTTCCGTCGACCTGCGGGGCTGCTCCATACGTAGACTCATGCTCACGCCAAGCCTCCCGAATCTTGGCTGAGACAAAGCTGTTGTTACCCGCTTCGCGAAACTGGAAACTGGTACACAGGACGAGTGCAGCGAGACCTGCGGCCATACGGTAGCACCCGGACTTGGGCAGGGCCTGGCAGCCCCGTCACTTGTGCCCACGCGATCGCGGTCACTTGTGCCCACGCGGTTTCGGGTCACTTCGCCCACGTACCCCGTCACTTGTGCCCACGTACCCCGTCACTTGTGCCCACGTACCCCGTCACTTGTGCCCACGTTTCTGGGGGGGTGGGGGGGATAAGAATAAGCTTGTTTGAGGCGGTCAACACAACCACATCCAGTCAACCACATCCAGTCCCAACGGGTGAGGAGGAGGGGGGGGGGGGGGGGGGGGACAAGAATAACATCCAGTCACCCGCCCTGCAACGGCGGGGGGGAGGGGACGGGGGGGATAAGAATAAGCACCCGCCCTGGAAACGGGTGAGGGAGGGGGGGGGGGCAACACAACCACATCCAGTCAACCACATCCAGTCCTAACGGGTGAGGGAGGGGGGAGGGGGGTGGAGGGGGGGGACAAGAATAAGCTTGTTTGACGCGCTCAACACAACCGCATCCAGTCACCCGCCCTGCAACGGGGGGAGGGGGGGGGGGGAAGGGGGGGGGATAAGAATAAGCTTGTTTGACGCCACACACCACACCCAGTCACCCGCCCTGGAAACGGGTGAGGGGAGGGGGGAGGGGGGATGGGGGGGGCGTTCGAGGGGTGCTTGGGAGGGGGTGGAGGGGGAAGAGGGGGGGCTTGGGCGGGCTGGGCGTCTACAGACATCTGACCCTAGGGGGGCCTTCCACGCAAGGCCTCAGGTCAGTTGTTTCTGGGTCCAGGGTTCGGGTTTGGAGGGCAAAGAAACGACTGTTGTTGCTCGATGCGCCCTGCACGGTCAGCCGGAGTGCTTGGGAGGGGGTGGAGGGGGAAGGGGGAAAGGGGGAAGGGGGAAAGGGGGGGCTGGGTGTTTACAGGCATCTGACCCGAGGGAAGCTTTCCACACAAGGCCTCGGGTCAGTTCCTTCTGGGTTCAGGGTTCGGGTTTCGAGGGGCATAAAAAACGACTGTTGTTGACCAATGCGCCCTGCACGGTCAGCCGCAGTTTTGGGTTCAGGCTTCAGGCTTCAGGGGTGGTTGTTGTCATAAAAAGACGGCTGTTGTCGACCGAGAAAACTGCGTCCACTTGAATGGGGTGACAGGTGGCAGGGGCAGAGAGCCTGCCGGATGTGGCAGGGACGCGACTTTTCAACCGACAAACACCTCATCCTGTGGCCCTGCCATATTTTAAGACCGAAAGGTGGGCACAAGTGACAGGTCTGCGTTTTGGCGGGAGGTGGCCCAAAGTGCGGCCCTGCTGTGATTTGAGGCACGTACGCGGGCACAAGTGACCCGCGTAAGGCGGGCACAACTGACCAGCCTAAAGCGGGCACAAGCGACCGGTCTGCCCTTCCTGAGCATCTCCCCCAAAGTCCACCCAGCAGAAGTCATCACGGCTGCCTTCAAGTAGAACTACACGCATGCCACGCATCATCATCGGTAGGCTAGATTGCTAGAACCTTGAGCAGCAAGCATGGAAACATGCATTGTGACAAGTGAGACTGACAGGCACCTGGATGTGTAACATCAGTGTTTCACCCTCCCCCCCCCCTCCCCGCCCCTCCCCCCCTCCCCAAAAACGTGGACAGAGCACACGGGCGCAACTGACCCGAAAACCACGTGGGCACGAGTGACCGCAAACGCGTGGGCACAAGTGACGGGGCTGCCTCAGTAGCCCGTATGGTATCTAATCAAAATTTGAATAGCACAATCATGATTTTACGCAACGAACATTCCTTTAACACACAAAGGCTCGGATACTTCACTGGCCTCTTTGATACAGTAAAAGTCAAATTCTTGCCGCACTTTGTATGTAGAACAGTATCTGCCTGGGCATGGCACGAGCACTACTTCTCTAGAAACGGAACGAATCACGCAGAAAAACATTTTTCCATAAACTTGCAGTCTTTGTCTAGATTGCCGAGCACAAGCACGATTTTTTGCAATAAATATTCTACGCATGAACAAGAGCTAGGATCGTTCACTCGGCTCTTTCATATAGTGTTTTTTCAAGATTTGCCTATAACAGGCACTATGCATCCAAAAAAGCGCAGTACAGTATTTCACTCGGGTTTGGGCAAGCACTATTTCGATTATTTCCCTATAAGATAAAGGCAAGATCAGACAAACCAACAACCCCCAAACCAAAAAAAACACATTTTTCTAAAACAACAAAAAACATTATTCTGAGACTCTTGGAAAGACGAAGCCAAAAAAACAAAACAAAACAAAAGCATTGCTCCTAGACTCTTGGACAAAGGGAACCTACCGCAAAGCTATTTGGTCGCTGGCGCGAGCTATTTGCAGGGGAAACATCTTTGGTTTTTCTCAACTCTGTTTGCTCTGCGCAGAGGTTGAGAGGTTGTGTACCCCGGGATTTTTCGTTTTGGCAAACAATTGAGGCTCAAAAACATTGGGTATCCCAACAGATTGGAACAGCACAGCGTATTTGCTCCTCTGGGCCCAAAAACATGGGACAGTACAGCATTTTCTGCACCTCACGTGCCTGAAGTGCTGTACTGTCCCAATCTTCTAAAGCGCTGTACCGTCCCAATCTTATGCAGGGGCTGTATTGTCCCGATGTTTGGAGGCAGGCCCTGGATACTCCACAAGGATTGGCTTGTGAGGCTATATCCCTGACTGCTGCCGGCTGCGACAGTCGTAGCCGCGGTACTTGATGCAGAGAAAAGTGTGGGCATGGTGTATATATATATATAGAGAGAGAGAGAGGGAGAGGGAGAGAGAGAGAGAGAGAGAGACAGAGCCGCATATGGAAAAAAAGGCCTCCTTTCTGCACAGCATTATTTTTCAAGAGGCTGCTCTCCCTCCCCCCGCAAAAGATCGCGCGAAAGGGTTGCGCCAGTTGCCGGCGACCCTCCACGGCTACAGATCTCTGGGAGAGAGAGACAGAGAGCGAGCGCTGCAAGAGCGGAGCTCTGCGGCAAGATGCGGTGCACGAATTATAAGGGGCCCCCGAAAAAAGCACACTTTCAAGCAAAGCAGCTTCATCACAAAACCTTCCTCTGCATGAACTACGAACTATCTCCGGCCCTGGCACCGAATTTGTTCCGCTTGTTTGGAATCGAAGGCTCGAAGCATGAAGCCCATCTCAGCGCCGCCAAAGCCCTGCACAGTAGGGCACCACAAACGTAACAGAAAGACAGCTGCAGGACGCAGATGAAACTATAGCATGGAGAAGCATCAACGTGACTCAGCATGCACAGTCTATGCACTGTTCTCACCAAGATCCAAGCATGGGCTTTACTTGGGCTTTACTTGGGCCCGGCACCCAGCGAGGCACGGTATTCGTCAGTGCCTGAGGCAACGGTACCAAATTGCGGTGTGAACAGAGAATTTGGGCGAAGCCCGCAGTGAACCTTGTGGGAAAGGAACCCAAAGCCGGGGTTCGCGGAAGATTCTGTCAAAAACCTGGTTTTGACTAGCAGAGATTCGGGTTCTTGCAAAATATGAGGTATAGAACCCGTATATGCCCATCGGAAAACCTGTAAAAACACGTCGAAAACCACAAAACGCCGTCGGCTTTGTTTTGGCCGTACAAAACCCGGTTTTGGTTTCCAGAACCGGGGTTTAAAGTAGAACCCCTTTTTAGGGGGTTTTGGTTGGCAACGTGAAAATGAAGTGCAGTGGTGACGCAAAACTTGCAGTCTTGAACTGTAGATTTGAAGGCCTTGAGAATGAACTTGCATCTGAGGGCATGATGAAGCGCAGCAGTTTGCGTATGAGCGGGTGCCGCGAGCCGTGGTCGCTTTTGCCTTGGCATCCTGGCGGCGAGCATCGAGCCAAGGGGCCCCAGAGATGCGGGCCTCGCGTTCGCATTGAAATGAGTCAAATGAGTCAAATGAGAAAATGTTGCTCTGTTCATTGCTCCTGCCGGCTGTTGAGCGTTGAGGGCTTCAGCTTCAAGGCTTGCCTTGGCCGGCTTCTACTGTTTCGCGCACCGCGCAAAACTCCTGAACACTGTGAACGAGCACTGTTCATGCCCCCAGCTTTTGGATGGGAACATGTTTAAGCTCGATAAAGTTGGGTCGAGTCGAAAGAGTTGCTCTCGGACGTCGTCTTCTTGCATCGCGGCTTTTGCGTCGGCTCACGCGGCGGGGGCTTTTTCACCCAAGCGGCCTCGCCTGCATCTTCAGGGCGCCGGAGGCTCAGGTCCCGGTCGGTGCCTCGAGCGGAATGGGCC